TAGTAATACATCGGGGAAAAGAGATATTAAGCTGGATTTTCCTTCCTTTTTTTTACCTACCTTACTAGTTAAAGAAAATTCACTAAATTTAGATTATTTTGCATATTACTTACAAAAATTAAGGCATTTTCCTCATTAATTATGCGTTTAACCTTTTTCAATAACATTAAATGAAAAAACATGAAAATGTTAGATAAATGAGATTTATTTGCTTTATCAGGTTCAATGTTTCTTCTAACCTTCTTCGGAAACATACAATGACCTGACTAGGAACAGAGAGCTTACTAAAGCTATGTTCACTAATTGTAGTAAGTAGACAGGATACAGACGAAGGGTATACAAGACCCTTTATTTTTCTTTATATACAATGACTTCCGTACTTCGGAATACAATGACCCTCCACTCGGGGTCTAACGTAAAAGGTATAAAAAATAAAACTAAACTCTAATTTAACTTTAGAATAACACACGTGGAAGATTGGCCTTATAAAACAGGAAGCGTATGTAGCACAGAGACTGTGAACACTACAATACGTTTAATTTATCAAGAGGATTAAAACCTCTGGCCTGGAAGGCAAATAGCAACTGCGTAACTTCTAGGTAAGCGGCCCTGCTTCGAACTCACTGCTTCCTCTCTCTCTCTCTTGGCAAAAAGGCCACACTTAAATACTTGGCGTTCGCCAGACAACTTTGCATAAAATCCTTCACGCTTATAATTCTGGCCGGAAGTAGAAAATAAGAAGTGATAGTAAAGATTTAAAATAAAATAAACGTTAGTAAAACTTAAGATCCTTACATACTTCCCGCCAGAGTTAATTAGTTTTGAAACTGAGGTCTAAAACGACCTTGTTGAAAACTTTTTAGCTCTAGAATCTAACGCGAGGCCAACCTTTTACAATCATAACTTAGCTAGAAACTAGAAAATTTAAAAGAAAGAAATTTGTTTTACAATAGCAGCTCCCGGGATATACAACAATCTCTTTTTTTTTTTTTTTTTTTTCATCTGTACTACTGCATCTAAACAGGAGCTTTTATTCAATTCTGGTTCCTTCCAGAGATCTGGAAGGAAAACTAGTTTAATGAAATGTTACAGAATGACAATTGGCAAATAACATATAGAATATACTTCTCTTAACATTCTTATTTCATTCATGACTATTTTAATTATCTCTCCCCGTGCTCTCTGACATGTGTTGTAAAAGACACCAAACACGAATGTGTTTCTGTCTACGTGTTCCACACTTCCTCCTACAATCAAAACACTAACGTGTTAAAAATTCAACATACGAGACCTCTTAACACACCCTACTTTTCAACTCTAAACCCTGAGGTACTATTCTAAAAGTGGCTAACTCTAAAGTGTAGCGTCAGAGAGCCTAACTACATCATTCAACCTTTAACATATATTCGTCCATGATTTAATCTTTTTACAGTCACACGAATAACAAAATTTTTTTTAACATTACTTTCACTTTCACTTTTACCATATCACGGTATTTCTTAACATTTAAAATAACAGTTCACATTGTATATAAGAACATATTAACATGCCGTTAATTTTACACATTTGAAAACATACATTAGTAGTACATTGTTAACTTCTATTCTTTTCAAAGCAAGTGCCAATTCTTTCTACATTGAAATAATACTACATTTCAAAAAGTCTTTCAGACTAAAAACTTCTTTCTTGCTAGAATGTTTTAAATAAAATTTATACAATAACTTTTTACAATATTTAAGTCTTTACACAACGCTATTATACATCAACTTTAGTTTTACACGCGCGAGTAATTGAAAAACATAATAAGAAGAAAAATCGGTCACAACTCATTTCTCGCCCTTTTGGCGATAAAGGTAGACCTCGCATGAGGTAAAACTTCTTGAAATCTGCCACTTGCAGTAAGAATGAAAGATTAACTTAAGTTTGTAAAGTAACATAAAATTTTACTTATCTTTGTAATATTCAGACATCCTTTTCTGGGCCCAGTCTTTAAAGGTATAGCTGATAGTAGCTTGGTTGATCCTCCTTCTTGTACGGGCTCGCCCTTCAGTGCTTTCCTCTGGAAGCTTCCGTTTTTCACCAGTACGGCCACCCTTGAACACCTTCCTTTTGTGCTCTGCTTGTGGTCTTGGCCGTTTGAAGGCAGCACAGGTTCTTCTTGAAATTCGGCCATGGTTATTCTTCGTCGGGCGCCACTATCAGGTTCAATGTTTCTTCTAACCTTCTTCGGAAACATACAATGACCTGACTAGGAACAGAGAGCTTACTAAAGCTATGTTCACTAATTGTAGTAAGTAGACAGGATACAGACGAAGGGTATACAAGACCCTTTATTTTTCTTTATATACAATGACTTCCGTACTTCGGAATAGAATGACCCTCCACTCGGGGTCTAACGTAAAAGGTATAAAAAATAAAACTAAACTCTAATTTAACTTTAGAATAAGATTGGCCTTATAATAACAGGAAGCGTATGTAGCACAGAGACTGTGAACACTACAATACGTTTAATTTATCAAGAGGATTAAAACCTCTGGCCTGGAAGGCAAATAGCAAACTGCGTAACTTCTAAGGTAAGCGGCCTGCTTCGAACTCACGGCTTCCTCTCTCTCTCTTTGGCAAAAAGGCCACACTTAAATACTTGGCGTTCGCCAGACAACTTTGCATAAACTCCTTCACGCTTATAATTCTGGCCCGGAAGTAGAAAATAAGAAGTGATAGTAAAGATTTAAAATAAATAAACGTTAGTAAAACTTAAGATCCTTACATACTTCCCGCCAGAGTTAATTAGTTTGAAACTGAGGTCTAAAACGACCTTGTTGAAAACTTTTAGCTCTAGAAACTAACGCGAGGCCAACCTTTTACAATCATAACTTAGCTAGAAACTAGAAAATTTAAAAGAAAGAAATTTGTTACAATAGCAGCTCCCGGGATATACAACAATCTCTTTTTTTTTTTTTTTTTCATCTGTACTGCATCTAAACAGGAGCTTTATTCAATTCTGGTTCCTTCCAGAGATCTGGAAGGAAAACTAGTTTAATGAAATGTTACAGAATGACATTGCAAATAACATATAGAATATACTTCTCTTAACATTCTTATTTCATTCATGACTATTTTAATTATCTCTCCCCGTCTGGTATGAATACATTGCTCTGTATGCTACCTTCCAACAGTAAATGCACGATCACATGTAGCACTCTACGTTCAGCGTCTCGTCAGTAGGGGAAGTTACTTAATGGTTTGCCCAGGCGCATCACACAGATCGTTCACCAATTCAACATGTCAGGTCTATAACGTCGCGCACACTGTCAAGGTAAGATAAAGACATTGGACAAAAATCTGGCAATTAATAGGAGCTGCGTGGATTGCAATATCCAAAAAATTCCATCGTCTCTCTGAATTTATGCCCTGCTCTGTGGTATTAATTCTTACAGTTTATATCTACTATATTTGGTATTGATCATAACACATTCTGTTTCTCCATCATACTTGAAGTTTAATGATTCTACCTTTGTACTATACGAAATCTGACAAGCGAACTTCATTACTTATATTTCATTATTGTTTGATGTTAAAACGTTAAAAGGTACATATTTGATGACTGGGGAACACCAAATGATTGCTCTTTTAGTGAAGCACCTAAAGATTTGAATTTGATTATCAAACGTTTTCGGATACTCAGTCGAAGGAAACTAAGAAACATTATCTGGTCTCACGAACGATAGTTTTGATTAGATTTCGAATTTACAATATGATATTCTCGAATTTACAATATATTCCACTTGCAGGATAGAAACTAATGCCTCTGGAAGCATTGTAACAGCTTGGTGTATTCTAAGGAAAATACTGAAGCATGTATACAAGTTTTAAAATTAATTATCTGGAGAATCTATGAGGTTGCTGGTTTTAGAAAAAGTATCTATTACAGACTGAGCCAGTGAAAATTCTTTCCTGACTGTCTACACGCGTTTTCAAACACTCTCTACACTCTTTTATCTTGATTTATCAAGAGAATGACATATATTTGTATTACGTGTAAGCTGTCTAGAAAGGATGCAAGTGGTCTTATAGTTATCGAAATGGGTTCTCTGTTACTTTATATTAATAATGCATTGAACTGGGTTTTTGACACGCTCGAGAAAAGTTCCCGGTAATAGATTTCAACAAAGTTCTAATTTTACTGACATTTCATCTTATTCACGTTAGGAAATCCTGCTAAGACAACAAATTGCTGCAATTACATCAAAACGCTCACAAATAAATTACAAAACTTCATACAAGATGTTTTGCGACTTCATTAAAATAACATCTCTTTCCAGGTATACAAGAAATAGCAATGGAAATTTGAAATAAATAAACAAAACTAATATAATGCATTTAAAAATTATTAAGAAAGCACAAAGGATTTATAAAAAATTTGTTTGTGCTATATCAGAATTTATCTGTGTTTCTAACACTGCTGTATTTTCTGCTTGTAATAATTAGTAAGAATAATTTTTATTATAAAGGAAACAAATTAACGTATCAAATAACATATGCTAAAAGCAAACCGTTTCATTCCAGAGAGTATCTAAAATAATATCTCATTAACCAATATTTTTTCAAAGCATGCCGTTACTGTGATTCCACTCTGAAGGAATTAGTGTTTAATTAATTTAGAATGGTAACGTTATAATGTTCTAAATTTAGTTTCGAAAGTAAAACGAGCATAGAACTGATTTTGTCCTCGACCCGCAAAAATCAATACACATTCCAATATCAATCGCAGGCCATTGGTACTAACAATATTTTATAAATACATTGAAACAAAATTTGTATGGTTCCATTCATGATGAGCAGGGAAATGTTAGTAAAAAAGGAGAAAATGCATATAGTTATGTCTTTTGGTATATTATCTGGCTTTAGTGCGGAAAATGTTAATTTAAAACTTGTAAATAAATTGATTTAAGAATTATGGTAACAGTAGGTGTGTCAGCATATGGAAATGCTCATCTTACCTGTAAAAATCATTTTTTTCCAGAGTATGTTTGGAGCAGGAAACCCAACAGCAGCGCAGTCCATCCACACTGTATTACCCAAGATCACAGATGTATTCCGTGGCTCCACTGTCCATTGAGGCGGAACTGTAAAGTCAAGTTGAATTATATACTGAGTAATATTTCACACTTTTTCTTATATAAATTTTTGTGATTATATTTTCTTTCTTTTATTTTAAAGTTTCGGATTTTAATTTTTTTTTTAAAAAAAGGTTTTTAAGTGCTTATTAATAAATGAGAAACTGAATAAACACGTAATGTCAGGAAGTACAAACGAAAATGAAATTACCAATATGAGTAGTTATTGAGCATGTTTTTTGAAAATTAATTTATAATATTCTTGAATGAGGGGAAAAAAAGAACAGGAGGCAGTTTTCTGAAACGTTCATATAGAATTCCTGTTTCAGACAGAATAATATTTTGGTTTTTGCTGTGAGTTGTTATAATCTTTTTCTGTTTACGGGATTTGTTAAGAGCATAGTATCTTTGTACACTATGCGCTTTATCTATTAATTTAGACGAGGCGAAACCTTTAAAGCTCCCTCTTAACAATTATAATTAATTGCTAATATTTGCTTATGAGATGCTGAAATTGAAGCACCTGTGATTCGATATTGGAACTACGATATCATTGCTTCCCTTTAAGTCTGACATTTCATTTATAAAATGCCATTCCATATTAATTGTTTTAACTCATAATGAAGAAATAAGTCATTCTTTCTCTTTATGAAATTTGTACTAATACGAATTTTGCATTTAATATTTTAAAGTACGTCCTGCAATGTATTTTTACACCAGAACTACTCTACAGTATGTCTAACTAGAAGTGGTATAGTATGAGGACTTATCTATTTCAAATAACAGAGAAAGGTTTTTATTGTTATTATTTTATTTTATTTTATTTTATTTAGTGAAAGTTGTTCGTGGGAAATAAAAAACATCACTACCATAAGTATACTACTTAGAGCTAAAATTAAAAAGCTTATATAGCTAACTCATCATTAAATGTATTTCGAATGGCAAAATTAAATGCATTTTAAAAGAAAAATCTACGCAAAATGGGTTAGGGCTCGTTTCGACGACAACATTCTGTCGCAGCTACGCATATTCTATCGAGAGGTATTCTTGTGATAAAAAGAAAACTTACGAAGGCAATTTATTTAACAAATTTCATAATTCTGCTGCATGAGTATCATAAAGCCGCATTTTTAACTCACATTTTCCAACATATTACAAAAGAAATGTGAAATTCTGAAACTTGCTAGCAGAAGCACATTATACCTTTTCCTTCTATTTGAATTTTTACTTTCAATTTTCTTTTTCTTTTTTCTTTTTTCTTTTTTCTTTTTTTCTTTTTTCTTTTTTTTTTTTTTTTGAATAAGAGCATTTCCATTTTATTTTTCTTTATTTTTTCTCTTAAACATTTTATTTCATTTAGTATCAGATTTTCTTCTGAAATTTACTTAAAACTTACTAAGTAGTTTCAAACGCTTAACTTATGCATTCAAATGTTGTTATTTAATACAATTATGCAAAATTAAAAATCTGTACTTGTGGGTTATTCAGAAACGGTAGACACAAGAGACGCTGTTAAATTTGCTTTTAAAGTATCACATAGGAGGTCTATCATTGACTTCAGGAAATTATAATAGGTGCCAAAGTAAATTCGTCAGCGAACGTACTATTAGTTATTTCGACTGCTATTCACTATTATTTCTTCTTCTTTGAATTACTATTAGTATTACTCCAAAGAACGAAAAAAGTGCTTTTAGTACATGATGTTCTCCATTCACTCTACAGAATTTCGAATGTGTCGATTAATAGCTCCGTAGTTCATTAGCATAGCTGTATACTCCTTAATTATCGAAATTCTTAATTTATCTTGTGCTACGCACCAGATGAAGGTTTAAAATAATTATAAGAGGGAGATGGCTGAAACAGGAAGGTAGATAATATTTGGCAATTTATCGCTGTTATTGACTCTTATCATACTCTTTGGTTTCAAATAACTCACAAGTACCTAAAATCATATAAAAATACTTTCAATTTACTTGAAAGAAATATTTCGGCTTCTCAGTATCTTCACTGAGAAAGTAACAAAATGATTTACTGCGTATTACTTTTCTTCAGAAATGAATCCCATTGATAAGAATTTATAAATGTTACATTTACCTATTTGAAAATATATTTCCAAAGAAAATAATAATTTGGGGTTGCATTCCATATCTTGCCACCTAGATATTTTAATAAGGTAAACAGAGACTTCATTCATTTAAAGGAATTTAATGCTTAAATAATGTGTTAAATAATGTGTTTAAATAATGCAATTTAATATTAATGTTTAAAGGAATTTAAAGGCTTCATTCATTTAATGAATTTAAAGGAATTTAAAGGCTTTATTCATTTAATGGATTTAAATATTCTTTATATTATTATGCATGATTATAAAATATATTACTCAAATTTTATTTTCATGTAGATGCCTAAACTATGAATATAATGTATTTTTAAAACTGTAAAATAAATAGGAACAAAAAATGTGTAGTAATTAATGCCGGGCAAATGAACACACATACCATTCACAATTAATTGCATAGTCAAGTTAGTGGAAGCTGCCATGTTCGCTGCAACACAAGTGTAATGACCTCTGTCTCCAGATGCAACTTTCTTGAAAGTCACTATGGATGAATCCTCGAATGTTTGCACTGTTGTGTCACCGTGTGCTAAAAATGGTAGGCCATTCTTCAACCAGTGAAACCGCAACGGTTGATCACCTTTCGTGACAACACACATGAGTTTGGTCCTCGAACCTTCATCGACTGTAACACTTTCTCTGAAGAAATGGGGTTCAATAACAGGAGAAACTGCAATAAAAATATGTCTTTATAATACTGTAGTAGAAACATTAATGAATACTAAGATCAACATAACTAGAAAATTTTACGTATAATAAATATGCGCATGATTTTCGTTTAATCTTATAGTGGCTACGTAAAACCAAATACCGTGATCTTTTGAGTCTAAATTAAAGTTATTTCAGTATTTGGTTTTAATGAAAAAATCTGAAACTATCTAATGATATTTGTTGTTTTCAGTTGAATTGCAACCATCAGACAATAACGAAAGTGCAATAAACAAGTAGTGAAGATCCGAAGAAAACTTCATGATGAGATCCCTGAATCTCATCATGGATTTTGCTTTAGAAACTACAGTGTGTAACAAATGTAGTTACGGAGGCTGCTTAGCTTTCATAAAGGGCTTCTTCCATCATATTTTCCAATAAATTTAAGATACATTTCTGACGTTACATCATTTGAGATAGATTTATTGAGTTATGCATGTAACATAATGGAGTATGAAAAATATGTAACACAATGGATTAAATATATTTTCTTTTTTAAAAACAGTGTTATTTTTCTAAAATCTTTGAACAACAGGAGAAAGCATAAAGAAAACTTGTATATATTTATATTAATAAGGGAAATATTTAAGATTTAAAGGAAGAAAATAATTACACAATATTTTAAACTTTGGTATTTAAAGTTTTCTGTAAATTAGGCTTAGTGATAAAATGTTGCCATCCTCAAAAGGCTTTTTTTAGCCACTCTCCACTCTCACATATATATGAGAGAAATTCTCTTAACCTAATGATGTTCATACATAAGTTTTAGACGTATGCGCAATTTATAAAAGAAAACAAAATGTGTTATTAAACTCACATTTAGTTTCATAAGTTAAATTTGTAATGATTTTTCCAATTTTATTTCTTGTTGAGTTACAAGTTTTTTTTATAAAACAATTTCTTCATAATCCATTAACAACTAAATAATTTTTACAATTGCTAGTTAAAGGTCTAATCAATCCATAGGAATTAAAAAATATGCTAAAAAAGCGTTTAAATTATTCCAGATGGCTAATGTGACAGAATTATAAACACTTCAGAGTTATCAAACAGCTTCCTAATTTTTGAACAAGTGAAAATGTAAATAAACAGTAAATCGAATAACGAATACTTCAGTTTTTAGAAAACGTGCCTTCGTTTCTTCGTCGTCCTAATTGCTTTTTGTCAAACGTTTTCGGAATATTTCGCAATTTGACGATCTTTCATACCAAATTATTTGAATAAAAGCATCTAGAAACCTTCGAATATTTGGAACTAATATAATTATTTTATGATTAAATTTTTCAGACGTATTTGCTAGAAGGAAAACTGAATTAAATTCAAATAAATTTTAATGGCATAACTGTTTCTTATTAGTTTTGAAAACGATAATTTAAGTGTTCGGCAGAGGATAAATTCCCCAGTAAAGAGAGGAAGGCTTAGACAAAAATTTCAGGGCAAAAGAGACTATTAAAAGTATAGTATAGTACTTTCCTCTTTCGCGCTTCTCATAGTAAATATCAAGAAATATGTTTACTTTCTTAGGATTCTAATCAGTTAAATTGTTTCGGATTCGTTACAAATACATGAAAGTGCTTTGAAAAACAGTACTTTTGTTTATAGTCTGCCGCGTAACTCTGAAATTACGGAAACAGAATATAGTACTAGAAAAAAAAATCATTTCGGCTTGTTTCAAAAATTCTTTTGTATGTTCAATTGCATTTATTGTTAGAATTTGCCTTTGAATTTGTTAATGGAATAATAAAGACAATGTATCCAACTGATTTGTTTGTTTTTCTAAAAGCCTCATTATAATTCTCCTTTATGTTCCGCTGCGTGTCGAAAAATTACAATCTTCCCATACGATAATGTGTGAATTGTATTTGCATCATTTTGCTTCCCGCATGGTTTCTGCTAAACATTCGAGATAGTGATTCGACTTTCGTTGTAAAAAAATATAAGGCGTAAATTGCGTCAAACGTCAATTTTGATTATTAATAAGGAAAATTAAAAAATTGTGAAAATGCTTTCGAAGAAAGAGCTGGAAAATTAGGAGGAGGATGAGAAGAAAGCATGTGAGTATGGAAAGTGTTGTAAAGTGATTTGACGGAGAGATTATTTTCAGCAAATGAAAGAGAAAACAAAAAACAAAAAATATTACGAAATGGAGATTGTTCAGATGAAAATATATAAATCAGTCAAATAAAGGTAAGAAATAAAATTTAAAAAAAATAAAAAATAAGAAATTAAATTTTAAAATTTTTAGTAATTATAACCGACAGTTAAAATCTTAACAGTCGCCCAAAAGTGTTTGTTAAGGTTTTTTTTTTCTGTCTCGCTTCTTCGCAGATTACCATTCCGCTGTTGGACTAACTCCTGCTGGCACATTTGTTTTTTTTGTCATTTTAACTTCATTATTTTATTTCTTAGCACCTACAGCATATGCAATCCAACAGCGTAATCACAAAAATTTTAAAAGCATCATAGCAGCATATCCTTAGAATTCCCAATGTAGTGTTAAATGTTGACATATATTTATCTGTTTTTTTTTTCAGTCCTTTCTCAGTTCATCATATCAGTGATGTGTTTTTTTTTTTTGGTAAGGTATGGTTTTTGGTAAGGTAAAAAAAGCTTACAAGCTTTTTTTGTCTTTTTATTATTAACATCTTGTGATTTAATTTTATTTATTAAATATAATGTTCTTAGCACTTACTTAAAACTTAATTCAGGGACAAAAGCACAAATGTTTAGAAAAGGAGCCTCCTTAGAATTTCCGATAGATAGTCTCTCTCGCTGGAGATCAAAATATTTTATTCTGTGCAGTTTTGCTACTACTTGCTTTCAAATCGTTGAGTTTAATTATTAAAAACGCATTAAATTTTTATAAAATAGGAGATAAATAATAAAAAATATACAGCATTTTAATCAGACAGATTATGAATTAGATGCATTTTTATTATTGAATTCGATCCGACTCAAAAGTAAGAAACGAATGTTCTTAAAAACTGCAACTGTTGCTTTCAAATAGCTACATTTTGTTAATGGCCGGACGCTTTTTTTAATAGCCATTAGCCTTGTGCCACTACTAGGGCCGGAAGTGGTGGACATTTCTTTATGGAAGCGCCTAATAATTTAGCCAATATTGTTTCCTATGAACGGACGGACACTTACGACCATACCTTCTCTAGAATTCAAACCTCGGTTCAGAGCTACCGTAGTCAGGGTCACTAAAACGCTATACCGGATGGGCAGTAAATAGTTTAATTTGTTAATCTACAACAGACAGATTCACAGACAGATTCTGTGAAAATTTTGTAAATATAACGCTGATTTTTGTTGTTTAACTTCTGAATTAGACAGAGTCACATTGAAAGCTAATTGTGCCGAATGACAACATAATCGAATTAAAAGTGATATGATGCATTTATGGTGATTCGACGCAAAATTTTGTTCCCAGACTAAATGTTGTTTCGGCCTAAAAAGGGGTGGAGACAGACGTGATTTAAAGGAGTTCGGCTGACGATCGAAGTATATTGATGACTGCGGAAAGAAACAGAGCTGAAGAAATATATCTATATATAGGAAAGAGAAAAGAAAGGCGAATTTTGTAAAAGATGGGCTGACTGACGAGGTTTCTATTTGAGAGGTATCTATGCGAGAGTGAAAAAATAATGGCATCAGTAAAAAGAAAAACTTCAAATCTCGCCAAATGAGCCAGACGCAGAAGGGAAGAGGGATCAGCTAAATTCTCATTCAACTAGCAGGGTTATAACGTGCTTTCTTGAAGGTGTTAACGGTAAGACGCTGAACTGGCGGCTGCTAATCAAGGCTATTTGTAAGGGAGCTTATTCCGAGATAGCTTTGGGCAAAAGATATATTACTCTTCTTCTTGTTGTTCTTAAATAGCTTTATATTTCGCGCCGTTCCAGAAACTGACACAGATTAAGGTCCAGTAACGCGAAATGCTAAAATTAATGTGGAGCAAAATTTTACAAAATTCATAAACCTCATTAATATAAAATATGATATTGCTATCAGATATTTTTATAACACTTATTTCCTGAATTATTTATTAAATGCTTAAAATTTGTGTTGGCTCTGTTCGAAAAATAAGCTGTTTAATCTCAATCCACAGCTCGATTTTCAATGTTTTATTCTGTTGTATGTATATGCAGATTGCATGTTTGTTGTTATCTATCATACAATCAAATACGTTTAATTCAACATTTATTAAGTAATTTGCTATAAAATGAGCACAATGAACTTTTTGTTAACCATCTTCCTGAAGCAACCATATCGAAATGTGATCAATATTACTAAGGACATTGATGTCGATATTGAAATTCTCCCCTCTCTAATCGGACTACTTTCTCAAGGAAACAAAATCGTTTGAGAGACAGAGTTCGTTTCTATCTTTAACCAAAAATAGTGTTTTATGACATAATTATTATTTATTAGTTATTAACACGATCCTTGTAATCAAATTTAATTTAAGAAAGAACAAAAGCGAAATTCTGAATAACCGTTATAATCTATTACAAGCATTTAATTTTTTTATCAGATATACTTAAAATCTAGAATATGAAAAGCTAACTCGTATGACTCATTTGGTATGCAGCCAAACAGTATATATAATACATTTTATTAAACTTTATACCTAACCGTAATGAGTGCAACTACCAGAAGTAAAATGCATCTGTACACTTATAAAATACATTGAGCCATCTTTAAAATAACTATCCACTCGATTTTGGTTTTCTGTGGAAGTTGTTGTCATAGAGAGGAGATTTCCGGTACAAGTGCTTGTGTAAATTCTCCGAGATATTTGCTAGTTGTAGAAGTAGACATCTTAGACAGGTGGGTCCCGAAAAAGGGTTTATTGTATATTGAATCATTAAAATCTAAATGACGTGACAATAAGATCCCCGTGAATTAAATTTTAGGATTTTAACTTAATTTTCAAAATTTTTAAATTTTACTGGT